GCTCTGTGGATGTTTTCCGCCCCTCCAACCCTTGGGAGCTGGCGAAGACTGTCTTTGGGGCCAGGGAACTTGGCAAGATGGTGGTGGATTGTGTGAGTACTGGGAGGAGGGGATGGGGAAAGACCCCTGGGGTTGCTTGCAGGGAGGGAGAAAAGGTTTCCAGACTTCAGATTATTCCTTTTGGAAGTAAGTTCTGTTTCCTTGGAACTGCTCTGACCATGGATGTAGTGGGTAACTTAAAAACTGCGAGAGCACAGCAGGTCTGAAGAATTGTCTGCTGCTTTGGGGTTTTGAGTTCCAAGGCAGGTTCTTGCAGCTGACAGGGACTGAGGACAGGATGGTGGTCAGTGACCCTTAGGAACATTTGCAGCATTGATTATCATCTGAGCAACCTGGGGCAAAAAAAAATTTCAAAAGTCATTCCTTGGAAAACATCAATTCATTCTTCTTTAGAAAAGCCTCGTTGCCCCCACTGGAGAAATCAGTAAATGCTAGAGAAGTGGGAGAGTCACTAATAAAAAGCAGTTGTTGAGAGCTGTGGTTAGGAGTGTGTAATAGGAATACAAGCTTGCGTGTTTCAGAAAGAAGATCATGAACTGTTGTGCATGAAAACACTCCAAATGAATGAAAGCCAGAGGGATCAGAACAGAAGTTCTGACTGTGATCTTAATTCTGCTGCTTTATCTCCTTTTTAGCTTCCTAAAGTCAGAAAATGTCCAGAGTCCCCCTGCTTCCCCTGCCCTTTATTTCAGGGCTCCCAGGGAAGCTGTGCCAGGATAGCCCAGGAAACCTGTAGTAATCACAGGCTGTGCTGTTACAGGGCTTGGAGGGAATGGATAGAGATAAAATCCCAAGGAGGCAGTCATTCATGTCATCCTGGAAGTTTCTTTAAGGGAGTCTAATCAGTGCTGTGATGTACGGAGGATCTGTGGGATGCAATTCCTTGTGTCCTAAAGATCAGGAGCACTGTTCTTATGTTAAAAATAAAAATAAATAAATAAAAAGCTGCCCTACTCTTGGCGACAAGCAGTGCCATCCAGGATGAACTCGCTCCTGGTTTTCCCTTTCCCTCTGCAGCTTGTGCAGTTCAACTTGGTGCCAGGGAAGCCTGTTGCAGGCAGGGGAAGAGCAGTTGGGCTGTAACTGTGGGCCTGTTTCTCCTGCAGTGCACTGACGCAGATGGCCCAGCTGTGGATCGTGCCAGGGCCTGGTGTGAGATGACGGATGTCCCATATTTCCGGTAGGAGCTTCCTTTCCACTCTCTACACAGGTCTATTTTTATCCCTCTCACTTCAGACCTGGCTGTGGCGTGCGTCATCCCAAACAGCATGCCCTCCAGAGGCATGCCTGCCCAGACCCCAGACCTGTCCCCTGCCCGCTCCCCTCACGCCTCAGTGGCACAAGGGAGGATGCCCTGGCCCTCTGCATGAGCTGATGCACCGAGCACGCCTGGCCTGGGGACACTTAGTGGAGGCTTGCAGGTTGCTGTCTTGCAAGGTCCTTTGGGATGTGCAAATTCCACCATGCACAGCCTGTTTTAGACTTGTCGCTCATGTGCTCTGCAAGTCTGACAGATAAAGGGCCAGTGATCACCTCAGTGGCAGGAGCCCCTTGGCAAAAGTCTCCTGCTTGGCAGGCTTGCGCCTGACCACCTCCGTGTCTGTGCCCAGCTGGTGATGCTGTCTTGGTGTCTGCAGGCTCAGCCCTCAGCTGCACACGGAGGTGATGCTGGACGAGGTGAACGACACGGTGCTGGTGAATGCTCTGTGGGACACCCAGCTGTACATCTACCAGCACCGGGAGCGGTTCGAGCAGCTGGTGCAACATCTCTGCCGATGACTGACCTGGAAATTCCTGTTCTGCATCCCAAAGGCAAGGAGCAGCAGACACTGAAGTGGCTCAGATTTGCCCTTCAACCAAGGTGTTGAGGTGGGGGAGGGACTAGTAATAATAATTATGAGGTACTAATAATATTTAATAGACAACAGTGCACATGTATTCCCAGACAGCTGTGAAATGCTGACAGTTATCCTTGTTCTGTAGCCCCATCTCTGCTGCTGTGCTTGGTTTTGCTGCCCCGCTGTCTGACTCAGAATCCAGAGCCCCCACCTACCTGTCTTGAGCTGTAGCAGCTGGAATGCCTCCTGTCTGTGCAGTACCTCCACTGACAAAGCACCGTGCACCTTCACATGTCACAGAACGGGCTGAGACCCAATAACAGCTACAGGGATTGCTTGGCCACTGGGGCCAAGGTATTTCAGAGTGTATAGTATGGGGAAAAGGGATTATTTTTCCTTCAGCACACCCAGGTTGAAGGGGAGCAGAAATGCTGCAACTTTTTGGAGTAGATACGATACAGAATGTTGCAGCTGGCCTTGGGAGAAGGGCAAACCTTTCCTGAGACTGGTCTTCTGTAGCAGCTTCTTTCTCCTCTGAGCTGGGCTGGCAACACAGGTACTGACTGTGCCTAGGGTGGGAGCAGACCACCCCCCACCCAGGGCTTTCTGTGCCACTTGATTTGCTGTGCTGATCTTTGCTCAAGGGCTGAGATGTGAAAGCCTGACTTTACTCACAGCAAGTTCAGGGTAAGGGACAAGAGCCTTGGCTTAGTAGAGAGATCATTTATCTCAACGGGGAATTAAAATGCTCTGTGATTTATTCCCTCCAAAGAAGCTGACCCTGTGACAATTTGGGTTTACTTTTTTTTACTACTGGAAATTTCACTGTGACTGCTATTCTACTCATTGTTTCTCCCCTAAATTTTGCATATTTATAAATATGTACGTATTTGGAGGCGTTTTGAGAAGTACCCAAAAAACCTGAATTTTTAATCCTTTGCTTTTGACTGAATGGACCGCTGTTGCTGACAGGGCTTCCGTGAAAAACTGATGTGACCTGAAATAAAGAGGGATTTGCATTTGGTTCTGATGTCATGCAGTCCATGGTTGTCCTCTCTCTATCCTGCAAGTTCCCAGAGGGCTTCTGAGCTTGCAGCCTCTGAATTTCTTACAGGTAGAAAGTGATGAATAGGGCCCCTTGAGACACAGGATTATACCAAGAGGTGAATGACCTGTCCACGCAGACAGCCCTGGGAGCATGTATGTGGTGTGAGTGTCTGATTTTTCCACAGTAGTTGCAACCAGAGGAAAAAGGCTTTGGACCAGCTGCAATATGAGGATCCTCTTGGAGCTGACCAGGCCTAAAAAGTAGAACACTGAAACCCTTTGGGATACAAAAGGTTGGAGATGGGGCTTTAATTTTGATATCCCCAAGCGGTTCCCAAACGAGGTAACTGCTGCAAGCCTGCTGGACCTGCTGCCCAGTGGTTCCTGCAGGACACCACTGACGTGCTGAGTCATGAATAGGGCTAAAAACTGATTATCTGCCTTCTGATCTTCAGTTTCACGAATGAGATTGTGGAATTAAGGGGATTTTAGGAGGAGTAAAAGTTTTCCTGTACAACAGCGAGCTGTACTACATTCTTGTAGAAAAACAAAACTTGAAATGAAGAGAGCCTGAGCTCCTTTCTGCTTTTTGCCCCTGGCTTGTACTCAACCTCCCTTCTTTATAAGTCTGCAGGGACTTCCTGGAGCAGGTTCCTTGCATGCAGACGGGAAGAGCGGGAGGGTTGCCATCGTTAACCCCAGATGGCAATTAAGTACCACTCAGCCACTCACACCCCACCACAACCCTGCTGGGGAGGAGAATCGGAAAGAAAAGGTAAACCTTGTGGGTTAAGAGAAGAACAATTTGATAATTGAACCAAAATATAATAATAATAAAAATGATAAGAAGAGGGAGAGGGAGTAACAGGACTCAGGAGAAACAAGTGATACATAACCCATTTGCTCACCACCTGCTTATCAATGTCCATCCCATCCCCAGGCAGTGATTGTCTTCTCCAGGTAAATCCCCCAGTTTATGTACTGGACATGATGTTCTGTGGCATGGAAAATCCCTTTGGCTGCTTCAGATCAGCTGTCCTGGCCATGCTGCTCCCGGGTGTCCTGTGCAGCTCCTCACTGTCAGAACATGGGAAACAGGGAAGTCCTTGGCTTAGAGTAGTAAATCACTACTCAGCAATAACTACAACACTGGTGCGTTATCAACATTATTCTCATAGTAAGTCCAATGCACAGCACTGTACTGGGTACGGGGGAGAAAATAAACCCAGTCCCAGCCAGAATCAGGGCAGTTCAGGCTGAGGGTCCTGTGAGCTGCTCAGCTGTTGTGCCCTTGGTCTGGAGACCAGAGGAGCATTCCTGCTCCCCTGCTGGCAGTAGATGTTGGGGAATGCGGGGCCTGCGGGCTGTGTGACCCAGTCTGCATCCACCAGCTCCTCATCTGCCTGAGCCAGGCTGTGGCACTGTGCCCATGGAGACCTCCAGACCCATCCTGAGCAAACAGTTGAGAGCCCTGTGCCCGCTGTTCTGGGCTGTGATGGGTGCTGCCAGGGGAGGCTCTGACTGGGCTTCGCTTTGTCCTTCTCTGCCAGGAGTGTGCCAGGAGCACTTGAAATAGCAGTGCCAGTCCCAGCTCATCAGACATGAAACCTGGGAAAGGGTTCAGATAGAAGTCTGTTCCTGCTGTTGGGGAGTCTCACTGAGACTGGTGGGAGGGAGCCTGGTGAGGGGGAATAGTGGGCAGGGAGGAGTTGAAATTTGTTTTGAGCTTTCCTTGCATTCTCCGTGCCTGCCACTATTTGCTGCCTGCCGTTGCAAGCTGATGGGGATCTCCTGACTCCCAAGGTGTCTGCAAGAGAGAGACCTGAGGATGCTCCACTAGCACATTGAGGCCGGTCAAGCCACCTCCGAGCAGCGGCAGTGACGGAGGCAGCGAGCCATAAGGCGAATACTTGGGCAGTTGGTCGGCCCTGCAGGTGTCAGGGCAGGGAGAGCTGGGTACCAAGCTGGCAATCAATAATGCAAGGAGGCGGTCACGTGTCCTTGCTGGCTGTCACAGGATTCCTCTCTCCCCAGAGTCTGGTTACTTCCAGAGATCAAGTTCCAGTCTCTCGGCTGGTGAATTATTAAACTACATCAGTGCTCCCTTTGTACCACATCTGTGTCTTCCTGCCATCCTTCCTTGCCAGTGACGGGCTCTTTCTATCCAGCTGGCTGTGCAGAAGCAGAGCCCTCCAGGCCATTATAGCACCTGGTACTCTCCTTTGCTCCCTGCTTCTCCGTGGGAAAGGGAATAGCTTCCAGAGATGGATCTGTCCTACAGATCCACCATCTCCATCTATAAGGTGAGTGCCGGCATCAAAGGCTGCTCCCGTTGGTGTAGGGGAGACGTATGGGTGGGAGAAGAGCTGTTTTCTGCCAAAGGCTCCCTTGGGTGGACAGCTGAGGGCTGAATCCCTTTGCAGTCAGAACTCCAGCAGCTCCTGTGACCTCTGCTGGGCTGTGTTTGAGAGCAGAAGGCTGGCAGGAGGAGATGATGGTGTGGGTCCTAGAGGCAGATTCGGGAAGGAATTGGGCAACTCATTTGGGTTGGCATGGGGCGTGGAGCATGAAGGGTGTCATACCTTAGTTGCTGGTAGGAAGAAGTTCGATCGGCTGTTTTCCCCCTCACTGGAAAGAGCTGTCTCATCTCATAAAAGTTTCCTTACACACTTCAGTGCTGAACCAAGGTGATGAGGGCTGGCAGAAGGGGGAATTGCTTATTCCAGTCTCTGATCTTCTCTGTAGTCAATGAACACCTTTGATAAATACAACAAATAAAAGCAGAGAGGCTGGTCTGAAGCAGTCTATCCCTTCTCTTACCAGGCTCCTGAGTCTGGCAGTGCACCACATCCTGGCCAGGAAAGAGTTGTGTTTATTCCTGGATAATAAACAGTGGCCCCCACCCTGGCTGGCTCTGGGATGAGGGGAAAGGCTGCTCAGATCCCCTTGCGCTTACTCCCCTGCCTGCAGTGGGTGTGGGACCTTGGGAGAAAGCCATCTTCATTCAGGAAACCCCTTGGCCCTGCAGTGGGCTCCCTTGCCCTCTGGCACTGTTCCTCTCCTGGCTGGCGTGGGAAGATTAAAGGCAGCCAAAGTTCCTAGCCTCCTCCACTGCAGGGAGCTGACTCTGTGCTCGACTGCACATCCCCACGGCCAGCCGGTGCTGTGGCTGAGGGAACTCTCATCCAGCCAAACCACAGCAGGGGGGCATCAACCTTTTGAAGTCTCTGGAGTGTGGGGAAGAACAGCATTAACGTGCTTTTGCCTGACCACAGAGTATCCTGGAGCAGTTCAACCCTGCACTGGAGAACCTGGTGTACCTGGGGAACAACTACCTGCGTGCCTTCCATGGTGAGTGGGGTCCCGCCCAGCCAGGGCTCCAGACCATACTGCTGCATCCATCCTGGGCATCTGCTGTGCTGTCACCCAGGACAAGGTTGCTGATTCGCTGCCTCTGAAGTGTCCTGAGCTGCTCTTAAGCACTCCTCTACCCTAGGACCTGGTGCTGATGGCGAGAGATGGGGTGCCCTTGCCTATGGGCGAGGTACCAGGGGGTGGCTGTTCTGTGTGCTGCTTGCTGGAGCTGGTGATGGTGGGAAGGCAGGCCAGACCCTTATGTCTCTCCCCTCTCCTCTCCTCACAGCATTATCCAAAGCAGCTGAAGTGTACTTTAAGGCAATTGAGAAGATTGGGGAGCAAGCTCTGCAGAGCTCAACCTCACACATGCTGGGTAAGGCTCTCCTGCACTCCATACTCTGTCCTGTGATGAACCACAGTTAGGTCTTTTTTTGCCTTCTCCCTTAGCTTGTCTCTTTCTAGGTAGAGAGGGAAGAAAGACAGCTCCTCTAAATGGTGTCTCACCACACCAGGCCCTGTCCAGGTGGTGAGAGTCAAATTTATTGTGTGTCCTTGAATATCTCTCATGGTCCCTGCATCTCTCTGAGATGAATAACTGAGCCTACCTCCTGGGATGGACCTCCAGTGATGTACCTCTCATGGAAACCAGTCCTTGTTGAGGCCTCCTTCCCTGAGAGATGACATTTTCATCAGGGAGGAACCATTTTGTTCCTCCTTGGAAGTGTGGGGGAAAAGCTGGAGAGCATGCACTGACAACAGCTGATTAGGGTCTTGTCCACCTGAGCCTGCAACCAGCTGGAATGTCAGCTTGGGGCTGAGGGCTTACACTCAGCAAAGCAAATAACTCTGCAGCCTAGTGGCAACGCTGAAAATGTGCTCAGGGAACTGTCTACTGCTGAACATTTTAGTAAAAAGCTTCCAGCAGATGTGTCCCTTCTGCAGACTCCTGTTGTCATATGCACCTCCCAGCTAGCTCCTCTGCTCCCTGTCATCAGTCTCTTCCTTTCCTGGTTTCATAACACTGACATTGGTGAAGCAGGACCGTGCACAGCATCAGCAGCAGGTGCTGTAGCTGCTTTCCCATAGGAGAACCACAATGTGCACATCTGCTGGAGTGCCACTGGCATTAGAAATGGCACCTGTAGGGGCTATGGCAGAGCAGAAACCCAGAGCCCATGACAGAGGCGAAGCTTCCTGCTGGCACCTGGTGCCGAAACAGAGCGCTGGTCCAGCCACTTCGTGGGCTGGAGCAACCCTGTGTTGTCAGTGCCTGGGGAGGAAGGCTACCACCCTCTCTCAGGGTGTGGCGAGCAGAACTTTACGATATCTCTTGGACTTTCACACTTGTGTTTCGTCAGCCTGAGTTGCATCACCCTGGTCTGCCTCCTTGGGCACACAAGGAAATGGCTGCAGGATTTTTACACCTTCTCCTGTCTTTTTCCTTGAAGGTGAAATTCTTATGCAGATGTCTGATATGCAGAGATTACTGAGCTCTGATTTGGAAGTTGTGGTGAGTGGTTTTCCTGAGGGGTGGTGGAAGTGGGAAACAAAGGGACTTCCTTAAGCACAGCTTATCAGCATTTATTGAATTCACCTGCCCTCTTATGAGCCCGCAGGCAGGTGCCTGCCTCCCTGCTATCCCACGTGACAGAGGAGTGTCACGGAGCTGCCACTGCAGCTGGGCTGGCAGAGCCTGGCAGGAGCATCCAGGTGGCAAGGGAGTCTCTAGCACAGCAAGTCTTATGAGCCACCCCTCACCACAGTGTATGCAACAGCCCACTTGGTGAAAGGACAAGACTGATGGCTCCTTCACCTCTTTCAGGCTCAGACCTTTCACGTGGACCTGCTGCAGCACATGGAGAAGAACAGCAAAATGGATGTGCAGTTCATCAGTGTGAGTGATGAACTCCCTTCTCCTCCTCAGCCCTCCTTGTTTCCTTCTCCCATCTACCCAAGGGTTTTTGCTTGAGCACTTGAAGTGTTTCCTTGACTTTTCTCAGGAGGAGTTAGGGTGGCTTTTCTTCTCCCATCAAGGAACAAACCCCTCTTGTTTGGCTGATGATGGAGAGCTGAAGATGATGGCTGTTCTTTCCATAATGGGAATTGCCAAATGCTTCAGCAGGGCTAAGAGACTCGTCATCCCAATAGCAGAGTTCCCAGCTTTCCCAAATCACAGCCTCTGCATGACTGTGGGTACTCTGCCATTATGGCCCAGCTGGCCATGTTGGTAGGTACTGTCATGGAGGGAGACAGAGGCCTGGAGGAGCTGAGTGCCAGTTCTTGGTCTTGAGATCTTGAGGTTCATCAGCACTCTGAGGCCATTCAAAATGAAAAGAAAGGTAGAGAAAGACTTCTTATAAGAGGTCCAGGTGAAGCCTGATTTCAGGGGACTCAGATGTCCAACCATGCATCAGAGCAGGACCCTTGCTGCTTCACAGTGTATCTGTCTCTGGTTCCTCACTGAGCCTGGTTTCTTCCTGGCAGGAGAGCCAGAAGCACTATGAGCTGGAGTACCAGCGGAGAGCCACCAACCTGGATAAGTGCATGGCAGAGCTGTGGAGAATGGAGAGGGCTCGTGATAAAAACACACGGGAGATGAAGGTAAGCAGTGATTCCAGGAAGCGGAGCTGGAAAAAAGAACTGGATGATTTTTGTGGAGCCAGGGCTGATTTCTCAGTAACCTTAGCCAAGGAGTTGCCCCTGATATTCAAAAGGCAGCAGGTTTATCTGGAAAGTAGGAAACTCCTATTCCACAGGGTGATACTGACCTGTGGTGCTCACTCCTGCCAAGCATTTTCCTCACTTAGGAAGCCTCAGTGTGCGAGGCTCTAATCCCTGGCACTCTGCTCTATCTCCTCTGTGGTGCTCCAGCACCGCAAGTGAACTGGGAAGCTCATTGACATGATGACCCCTTTCAACCCTTCCCATGCAATGGGATTTTCACTGATCCCTTCCTCCCTTTTTTCCTTGTGGTACAGGAGAATGTGATGCGACTGCGCTCAGAGATGCAGGTGTTTGTCTCTGAGAGCCAGAGGGAGGCCGAGCTGGAGGAGAAACGCCGCTACCGCTTCCTGGCTGAAAAGCACCACATGCTCTACAACACTCTCCTCCAGTTTTACAGCAGGGTATGGCCCCGACATGTGGGGGAGCAGAACTGGGGAGCAGGCAGCAGGGATGGAGAGGGAGCCAGGGCTGAGCTGCCCCTTAGGTGAAGGTAATGTCTGTGCATGGACTGGGCAGGAAACTTTATTTCCTTTCTTGCTGTGAGGTTCAGGCTGCCTGTATTAGGCTGGGAGAACATGGCTGGGGCTGAGGATGGTGCTGACACAGGGTTAGCTGGGCGTGTGAGTGATGGTGGAGAGAAGGGTGATGTGTTTGTAGCAGTGTCATTTGGACCATGGGATCTCTGCCATCCTGAAAATTCACTCCTGTAGGATGCTGTTTGGCCGTTCCCACAAACCTAATTGTGGGAGGACCTGGTCCCTAATTTAATGCACATGTCAGCCCTAGGCTGCCTTTGTAGCTGTTCTGCCCTGTCCATCACCCCCTCTTCTCTCTCTCTGCCCAGGCTCGGGGCGTGATCCAGACCAAGGCACCGCAGTGGAAGGAGCAGCTGGAGGCCAGCCGCAACCCCTCCAACAGCCACTCACAGGGGCTGCTCGCAGCCTCCCACGGCCAGGGCTATCCATCGGGACGGCTCACTCCCACCCACCTGGAGATGGTGAGGCTCCCACAGCTTCACCTTGTTTGATGCAATATTGGAACAGGTTGCCCAGAGAAGTGGTGGATGCCCCATCAAGGTCAGGCTGGAGAAGGCTCTGAGAAACCTGATTTAGTTGAAGATGTCCCTGCTCATTGCAAGGGGTTAAACTAGAGGGCCTTTATTGGTCCCTTCCAACCCAAACTATTACATGATTCTGTGGTGGTGAAGCTGCAGGGCAAGGCCAGGCCTGGGCTGACCATGGTACTTGCTGCCTTGTCCAGCTTCCATGGCCTTTCCTGGCCAAGATGAAGAGAAGTATGCATATGGGCTGCAATGGGGGAATGTGCTGTATTTGGCTTTCTGAGTGGAACTTCAGATCTCCCAGAGCATCTTCTGCCTAATACAGCCCCTGTGGATGTGTGTTGAACCTCCTTTCCTTCCAACAGCCCCAGAGACCCCTTGGGGACTTTGCTTCTTCTATGACTGGGAGTAGATCCAGCATCTTCTCTCCGGACCCTCCAGAAATGAGACTGTCTCCTCAGCCAGAGTCCCCCAGGCGGCCACTGCGGAGGACACCATCAGCCAGTATGACCCATGTCTGGGAGCAGTGCTGTGGGGAGACAGAGGGGTTGGACCTCTCTGGGAAGAGGGCTGGGTTGGGGAATGGACCACCACTCTATCAGACCACCAATCCTCAGCCACATTCCTGGGCATGGTGAGAGTAGAGTGCTGGGAGATGGAGAGGGCAAGGCTGAAGTAGAAGGTGAGCTCAGCCTTCAGGGCAGGGTCCATCTAGGGCAAGGCCAGGATTCCTGGCTGGCTGTATGAAGTGGGGAACCCACAGATGTGCAATTTTCAAGGCTCCTTGGACCATAAGAGCTGATTCTTGCTGGAGTTCCATTTTAGTAAAGCACCTCCTCTCATGCTACAGATTTAATATTAGCTTGCCCTATGAAACCCAGCCACTTGCCTCACGACACACCTCCTTTTCCTTCCTGAGAAATTTCAGCTTAAAGTGTTTAAAAATAAGTAAAAAAGGGCAGGGGGAGAGAAAAATTACCCAAATAGTCAGTAGTTCTAGCAGGGTCAGGAAGAGGACTGTCAGGCAGAGCATCAGCCATGGTGTGCAGTGTCTATGTTCTAGGCATTTGACAGAAGAGGACACAGTGCAAAGCAAATGGTTTTGGCTTCAGTTGATTTTTCTCCTGCAAGATGCTTACCATGCTTTGTTAGTGCTATGCCCTTCTTTCTCCCTGAGAGAAAGTCCATCTACTCCTCCTTTAGAGCAATTACTTGCCTGAGGAAGCGGTGGTCCCTTTGAGGCAGTGTGGGTCTTACAGGAGGATGCCAAACTCCAGCCAGACTCCTTGGATGCCTCCCTGCAGGTTTGCTCCCTACGGGCCGTACTTCCCGTTCGGGTTCCTTCAGCGAGGCCAGCAGTGGCAGCGAGGGCAGGAAGAGGACTGGCAAGGGAAGAGTGCAGGCTATTGTGGCCCATGCCACGGGTGCCAACCGGACTCTGCTACGGTTTGACCCTGGGGACGTCATCACGGTGCTGATGCCGGACGCGCAGAACGGCTGGCTGTACGGCAAGCTGGAGGGCTCGTCCACGTATGTGACTCTAGTGCTGTAAACTGGCCTGATGCAGGCTTGTTGGGTCTGGAGCTGGGGCGGGGGAGGTTAAGCCCAAAATTATTATCCATCCTCTCCTCCTGGTGTGGCCTGGGCACTGTGTCTCACCCACCATCTCAGTGGGACATCACCATGTCCTCAGGGATGGGGGCTCCCCGAACCGAGGAGATGTGGTGCAGCATGGATGAGCCGCCTGAGAAAGCTCTGGGGGCTTTCAGTGGAAGAGTCAGGAATGCAGTGGCCCCCCTCCTGGCTTGCATGACTGAGTGACTCCTGTCATGGGATCCAGCTCAGGGCCATGAACTGCTGGAGTTACCTGAGAGGCCTTAGCTCACACTGCAACTGCTGCCACAGCCTCCAGCACAGGCAGGACATGGAAACTGCTGCACCCAGTGCTTACTGAATTACTGCCTGTGGCACTGCTGGCCACACTGCTGTGTGCAAAGCCTGTCCTGTTTTATATGGGGTCCCTGCACCAGGCTCTGCAGGAATGCTCAACCTCAGATGCGAGATAAACAAGAGCAGTGCCTCTCTTTGTGAGGGAGGGTTTCTGGAGTGGAGCTGATGCAAAATCGCAGGAAGAGTTTTCCACAGCCTCCTTGTGATTGCGGTCAGTTGGAGTGTCTCTTCCTGTGTTGTGCCAACATTGTTCCCAGGAGCATAGATTTTGCAAGGCCCCTGAGATAAGCGAGTCCTGCTCCAAGCTCAAGGTCTGTCTCACAATAACACCGTGCCCCACCTATGGGTGAGAGAAGTTCAGGAACCCCATCACATGTGGAAGCGTCAGCAGTGGTTTGGTCGATATGTGGGATGGGTGTAGATTAGGAGTGCTGGGCAACTGGATCTGAAGAACCACAAACCATGGTTGCCTGGACCTCATTTGTCTGTTCCTGTGCCCTAGGTGTGGCTGGTTCCCTGAAGCTTATGTCAAGCCTCTGGAGGATGCGCGGGAGATGGAAGAGCCGGACACCAGGTAACAGGAGGGCAATTGGCCAGGCAGGAGCTGGAGTGGCTCCTGACACATCACTATATGCCAGTGAGGTAATTGTTTAGGGTGTGCCCTATGGAGAGCTGCAGGGCTCCCATGCTGCAGCACCTACCAAGAGCCTCATTATGCCCTGAGATCTCACAGGCTTTCCTAGGTGGCTGCCCCAACATGTGCGATGTCTTCTCGAAGGTACTTGTGAGTGGGCCAGTCCTAAGCCATGTGTATTCGCTCCAGAGGCATCCCATGTTGTGGCTAGCACCTGTGATACTCCCTATTCCTTGCTCTACCCCACTGTCTTCTCCTCTTGCTCAGGTCTTTCCCACTGCGAAGCAGTCACAGTATGGATGACATCCTGGACCGTCCCAGCACTCCCTCCTCTAGCAATTACTGGCCTGCTGCTGCCCAGCCCAGTGTGCCGAACCCACCTCCCCTCTCGGTGGGTGCCAGCAGTCACCAGAGCGGGGCAGTTACCCCAGTCAGTTCTGGCTCCAAGGTGAGTGCAGGTGGAGTGACTGGTGGGTGTGTATGGAGTGGGCCACACCTGACTTTCATCCTTCAAGGCACACCTTTTCTGCTCTGCCTGGTAGAGAGAGAAAATCACCTCCCAGATGCTGGTGAAGGGACCTGCTCTCTTCCTGAGTTAAGGGGTCTTTTTAGCACCAGCCTTTTATCACCCAGTCTGTTCGTATGCCACCATATCCTGACGATCCCTACCAGACAGCCCTGTATGTGCAGATCCTCAGTGCCTGGCTTTGCTCCCATAAGGGACTGCATTTCTGCCCCTGCCCTTCTCATTTCTCTCTCTTTTTGCTCACCAGGGACCCTTCACCTCAGTCCTTTTCTCCATGACTTCCCAGCCTGATTTCTGGTGGCTCCAGGGCAGCACCTCTTTCTGCTAAGAGTAGGACCATGGAGTGATCAGGCTGGGCTGGGAGTGGGTGACCAGCTAACAGAGATGCCATCCTTCATCTCCCTTCAGAAAATGGAGAGGAGTTTCATAGGACTCCTCTTCAAAGTTTGGGCAAGCATTGAGTTAATGTCACCGCTGGGATAGGGAAAGGCTGGGAGGCACAGCCATTTTTGAGAACCTCAGAACAAGTTATATGCAACCCATATATGCTTTATGGATGGCGCACTGAGAAGGAAACTCTCCACTTAACACTACTTCCAGCTGTGAGGAATTGACTGGGGAGAACAAAGCTAAAGACAATTAAATGTGAGGACCTAAGAGGGGAAAGGAGGGTGCTGCCCACGGTCTCATAGAGGGCTGGGAAACTTCATCTCTAATCCCTGGTTCCAGGCCAGTGCAAGGTTGCAAACAGTTGGATTTCCCAATAATCTGAAAACTGCAACATTTGATTACTCTTCCCCCCCCCCCTTTATGTCCTTCTCTGTGCTTTCAGGTAGCCTCAGGCTGCACAACACTGGGGAACAGGCTCTGCAGCCTGTCTGTCCCTCTGGGTCACTGATTTTCATCCAGTCGCAGAGCTAGGGTGTGGGGATAGACCTGGGACTGAGCAGGAAAGTGTGTGGAGCATTTGGAGCATTATGGCAAAGTGCTTGAGCCTCATTAAAAGTTTGGAAAGAGTCAGCCTTGCTTTAAATATATGCCCAAGACATCCCCCAGTCGAGCCACAAGCAAATGGGTGTGCATTTGACTTTGCAATTGGATCACAGACAGACACATGTGGCTTTCTTGTCTGCCACCAGCTACAGAAAGTGGTGTACTTTAGCGGGCCAGTTGTCACTGATCCCTTGCTGTCTACTGACCAAGAATAAGGGCCACAGGGCCTAGGTCCATCTTTCTCTATCAGGCTTGTCCACATTTAAGCAATATGTGTTGTAGGGTAGGGAGGTAAAGTTCTTGAGTTCCCCATGGATGCAGGAAGCATGTGAGGGCACTGACAATAAATTCTTTGCCAGAGTGTGTGGGCAGCATGAGGGGGGCATCTCTGGGTGTGCTGGCAGGGTAAAATGTAGCTCAGACTGTCACTGTTTGCTGTGCTCTTCAGACACGACACTTCGGGGATCTGAACCATCTCCTTTCCTCTCTAAGACAAAGGGAGGTGTCCTAGGGGAATAAGGAACCTCTGGTGTAGGGACAACCCCCCACCACAAAATTCAGGGTCTTATCTATAGCAGGGAATTTGTGGGCTTTAGCATAGCTTGAATGAACAAGGAGTCAGAGCCCTATTAATAGGACTTGGGCTCCTAACTCACTGAAAGTGTTTTGTGAAATCTTCCTCTGTGTGCTGTGTCTCCTGCCCCACTTTTCTGTCTCCATTCCCCACTCACAGATTGCTCACTGCTGCTTTTCTTTTCACGCAGAAATCAGGAGACCAGCCCCCTGAACTATTCCCACGGTGAGTGAGACATGGAGCTCTGCTATGGCATCCTCAGACGGGGGGAGCATTATTACAACGCCATTATTATTTAACCTCTTGGATTATCAGATGTGGGAGGAACAAGTTGGTGCCTGGAGGAAAGCAGTGCACAGCCTGCCTTTCAGGACAGGAGGCAGAGGTGGTCCATTCTGGCCTCTGCTGACTGGAAAGGCTCTATCTTAACTGATAAAGTGAGGTAGGAGCAGAGCACCCTGAGCATGTGTTCAAATTTGCGTGCTCCTTCCCATCCATTTTGCAAGAGCCACAATAGCAGCTCACAGCCTGAGTGTGGAGCTACATGACTGGGGAGCTCTGCCAGCTTGGGAAAGGGCTGAGGCATAAGGCTTTAGGTTTTGATGAGTCAGGTCTGTGGAGATCAGGTTTGCCATAAATCCCTGCTTTCCTTCCCCCTGCAGTTGGGTTGGTGTCTCCAGGTTTCTGGCACGGTACTGTGGCCTTTTTCTGCTCCCTGGCTCCTTCAGGGGCTACAAGTAGAGAGTGCTATTGGGAAGGACAGCCACGTGCTAATGTCCCTTCTTCATCCTATAGAAGGGGGAGGATGAGAAGCCCTGTGGAGAGCCCAAGGGGAACCACATGGGAACTTGCAGCAGGGTGTGTTAAGGAGGGAGAAAATATACTCAGCATACAGCTTTACCACACTCTTCTTGGCATGGAGGTGACTCTCCAGAAGGACTAAATAGCCTTTGCTTGGTCAGAAGGATCCCTGCATAGCATCTGCACATTTTTTCATGGTTGCCTGTTTCCTTTCCCTCTTCAGAGGTACCAACCCCTTTGCCACAGTCAAGCTGCGTCCCACAGTCACCAATGACCGCTCAGCACCCATCATTCGATGAAGCAGGGTTGCAGATATTGAAGAATTTCAGCAGACAAGGAGAAAGAGGACAAGGACTACCCTTTGATGTCCAGCTGGGCAGCAACCTAGTGCTACCACTCATGGAGTCACCTCTCTTTTCCCCTCCCTTACCTCTGGGACATTGGGACCTGTCTCATCTGGGTGTCTGGTGTGCTTTAGCCAGCAGAAAATCCCTGCTGCTCTTTTTGGACTCATCCTCGTCCCATCTCCCCATGTGGTGTTATTGTACTTGAGTGGGAGAAGTCTGGTTTTACACGTGTTGGTGGCCTGGGAGAGGGGATGCTGCTGGTCTGGGAGGATGGGGGTGGATGGGTAAGAACATCTGCAGCACAGGGCAGGGCCAGTTTAATATTGAAGGTGAAGCTTCGCTAGCCCTGATGTGGGCAGAGAAGGACTCTCACCAAACAGCTCCTTTGCTACCAGAAGAATGAACCCCAAAAGGAGGAGGCTGCAAGAAGGTTACCAGTGACATGGTCTGGCTGACGGGTCCTGGTTTTGGTCCCTTTGGCAACCATGTCCTTCTGTAGCAGCACCTGCCCCTTCTCACCCTCAGTGCAGCCCCTTGCCTTGCTGAGCAGCCCTGGAAGCAAGGCAGGATAGGGTGACAGTGTCCAGCACTGCTGCTGTGCTCCCTCCCTCACTGCCCTGTGGAAAATATGTGGGGGTTTTTAAATAAAATTGAGAACGTGGCTTGTGTAGCCGTTCCAGCACCTGCGACAGAGGATGCAGGAGGAGGAGGACGGGTGGTCCCTACCAGCACTGGGACCATGACAGCTGCCCATGGTCATGGCATTGAACACTGCAGTGCTGTAGCTCCTGATGGGGCAGCTGCCGGTCCAGGGGTCCAGGGTGGATGTGGGGGGCACCAGGAGGGTTGCACCACCCACTGCACCACCGGCTGCCCCTTGGGCCCCCCCAGCTGTTGTGCCACTGGATGGCAGCAAGGCCCCACTTCCCGGCTGCCACGTGTGGGCAGGCATGTTCTCCCTGGGAGGACAAGGCCCCACGGCCATCTTCTTCTCGCCCACCCTGGGGCTGCTCAGGGCAGGGGGAAATGCTCCCCTGGGACCTGTGAGGGCCTCATCAGCCTGGGGACACCCTACGTATGCTGGGGGAGCCCTCACGGGAGAGGCAGCGTGAGCAAGGGAGGGAGCGGGAGCGATGGCCGAGGCTTAGCCGATTAGCCTTATTAATAGACATTAAACCCCGGCTGGGAGTGCTGCCAAGTTCCTGCAGCACCCCCGCTGAGAGGCTGAGGGGGTTTACAGCCCATGCCTTTCCTTCCCCAAAACACCAGCTGGAGTGAGCTGGAGTGGGCCCCAGCCCCCTCCCTGGAAGTAAACAGGTTCCCCCATGTTGCCAGACGCTCTTTGTAAGTCAGCTACAAGGGGGTTGTTTTGGAGGGGATTATTGAGATGCTAGGAGTGAGCTGGATCAGGTAGTTTGAGCCATGGCTGGCGGTGATTCCTCAGCTGATGCACCTTGTCTTCCTTCTGTGCTGGGTGCATGCCAAACCTCTCCAGCTCTTCCTCATCCTTCTGGCTGGCAGTTTAGGAAGTGGTGGGGTCCTTCAAAAGCAGCACCTTTCCCCATTTTGCCCCTTATTGAAACACGGGCCCGTGTTCTCATCCTCCACTGCCCCCTCCCCAGCACCCTTGCTTCTGGCTGGGTCCACCAGCAACATCCCCCAGCCTTACTCTTCTTCTGCCTGACTTGATCCCTCTGAATCTACCCCTGCCAGCCTGCCCCACTCTGCTGGGGGAAAGGCAAGGAGCCCCTGGGCAGCAGGATTATCAAGGGATTCGGGCTGCGGCAGGCAGCCACCTCGTCCCCATTGGCTGGAAAAGCCTCTTAAAAGTGCAGAAGTGCTTTCTGCCCGCTCAGCACCTGCTGGTCTCTGCCGACCTGAAACCATAAGCAGCTGCTGACCCACATCCACACTGGAAGTGCTGTAGGGCACTACTTGCACCCACAGTAGGCAAGGGGGTCCCCCACACAGGGCATCCTCTCAGACTGGCCACAGGCAGCTTTGCTGGGCATCATCAGAACTGGAGGAAAGAAGGCTGAGAGCGGGATTAGCTGTCTTGTGAGGACGTGGCTGCCTCGAAGGAAGAAGTGGAGCACAAGAGACTGCTCAACAGGTGCTAGATTCCTGTAGGTCCACCATTCCTGTGCCCACCATGGAGCAAAGATCCAGCAGGACCATCTAACCAGGCACCTTCACCTAGAGCCAGAGGGAGAAGGAAACGCTGCTGACGGGTCTGCCCAGGCCTTGGAGGCTCAGCTTGTCAGGAGGTCATCGTTTCATTGCACAGGTCAGTGGCACGGGGGAACACTTGCATCCTCGCTCTGACAGCCTTTGGGACAGCTTCCCCCATGCCTTCACTTATTTAATCCTCTAAGAAATGCTTTCCCAGAGCATTGTCTGTGGGCTGGGTAGGCTGCTGGTATGAGTTGTGGCCCATGCACTTGATAAACAGATCCCCTCACCCCATCTGTACTGTGTGGAGGTACTAAGAGCCATCTTAGCATTTATGTGGACCCTCTGGGATGCAGCTTGTCCAGCACAGTGGGGCTTTGCTGGGCACCATTCAGCACTTGCTGCACTGTGCTCTGTGCGTGTCCAGGGATTGGCAGCCACATCTCAACCTGCTGTGGTCTTCTCCCTCCTAACCTGGCCTTGTGACTTCTGGTGCTGGTGCAAGTCTTCTCCTTGCACCCATTTTAGCAAACTCTGTGGCAGTGCCAGCTCTGTGGTGCACTGGAAAGGATAGGTGTCTATGCTGATGAGCTTTCAGGTGCATGTTAACTTACGCATTTTTACCTGTGAATAAAGCTCCTTAACTAAAGAGAAAATGATAGCAAGCTGTAGGGTGTGCAAAGGCAGGTGCAGGGTACCTGGTGTGTCCACTGTGTGCAGGCGTGAGCTGAAAAGTGTATGTGCTGTGTTAGGAACAAGGCAGCTCTGAACTGCCTGGCTCAGCACTGCGATAAATCTCCAGCAGAGGTGTGCTACAGCATATTGGCCTTGGAAGCATCTCCACAGGTGAGCTCCTCTGGTGCACTTTATCTTTTTCAACCAGCATACAGCTGCAGGCAGGTAAAAATGCTTTAATGCTTAACTGCACGGTTGTGTAGCACTGAGCAAGTGGCTCCTGTGGAGGTACCCGTCCAGCTCCAAACTCAAACAGCACTGATGGATATTTGTCTAACCTGCTCTTCAAAATGAGATGCCATGGACTCACTGTTGACAGGCGATGCTACAGAAATCTCTGATGAGCCTGTCACAGTCAGACAAATATTTTCTTGCTAGGAAGCTGGTGGGGGGCTGCGGGTTTCAGGGAAAGATGAATAGCACTGGTTTGATTCATTTGATTTGTGGTGTGGGATGCGATCAAGAAGAGCGAGGTTGGGAAAGGGGACTTGGATAAAAAGTCTCAGGGTGTTTTTTGTGGTTTGACAGCTGCTCTTTTTTGAAGTAGCTATGTGCAGCACCATGGTGCAGTGGTGGAGAACTAGCACTGATCGAGAAATCACTGTGCTTTGGCAGCAGGTCACCTTTTGTACAACTGGATCTAGTTTATCAGTCAGGTGAAGCTGGGAGAGGAACAGCAGGCAGGTAATGGCAGAAGCTGAGGAGATTGTTCAATCTGGTTGTCAGGGTGCAAGTGATCCAGATAACACTGGGAAGGGTGTGAGGGGGGAGTTGGAGGTAGAGATATGGTATGGAAGTATGGGAGTCTGGGTAGCTGGAGAGTGTATAATTATTCTTTTCCTCCTTGTAATTATTCTTTGCCTTAAAAATGTCTTTAGAACCCTGTGTTCTCAGTTCATGCCTTTGTTCCTAGTCACAGTCCTTGAGATCTGGGATGGGAGGGAGAGATTGCAGTAGCCTGTGCCAGCCCCTGCGGTTCAGCCTGAGAGCTGCAAGAATATGGCCATCCCGCAGAGTGGCCCCAATCCATGCTCAGAGCCAGATTCTACTCAAACTTTTTATGGCTGATGGGGTCCTGAAAGTTTGGGGAACTCTGGTGACAGGCATCTGGGTGCTGCACTGAATAACCCCCTGTGTTTTCAGGAGCAAGGGCCCCCTGCAGAGGGGAAGGAGGGGTACAGCTGAGAGTGGCTGATAGGGTAGAATCACCTCTTGCCAAGCAAGGACCCTTTACATGCTCTGCCCCAGCTTATGCCCTCCATACTTTGGTATAAAGGATTTGCACTTGTTTGACATGCAGAGCAACAGCAGCTATGGGAATCAGGTCAAGTTGTCCCCATTGCTTGGAGAACACTAAGAACAGGTACTTCCTTGAGAAATGCACCCAGATCCAAAACTACCATGTTCTAGCTGTGAGTGTTGCATCCACACAAGTGTCCTTGTCCCCTCAGTAGTCTCTAGTTGGTGTGTGACTGCTGGCATTTCCCACAACTGCCGGTGCCAAGGGATGGTGACATTGCTGCCATCTTGTAGTCCTTCAGCCAAAGGAGCTGGGGAGGAGGGAGGACCCATTTTGGAAGTGTACTGCCAAGAAAGATGGTGATGATAGAATACAAAATGGACCCAAAAAGCCCAGCTCATGTATGGAGAATGCTTGTTTGATCCTACTCGGGAGCATCTATTATCAGAGTACAGTGATGGTTTTGCATACAGGTGTGAAAATAAGCTTGAATGACCAAGAAACTGAGGCCATTGGTGCTGGAAAGGGCATGGCAGAGACCTGGTACCTAAGGGAGAAAGGAAAAACATACCCACAGCAGCCAGCTGGAGAGAAATTCCTGGGCAGCTTAAGAGCCCCGAGAGCAACTCACAAGACATCCCCTCTAATTCCCTCCTTCTCCCCACTTAGGCTTTGTTCCGGCCCCTCCATGTAGGTACAGAGCCCTAATCTCTCTGGCATGCAAATAACCACCAGTTTTCCATGCTTTCCCCCTTCACCTATTTCAAAAATCTGGTCCCTGACAGCGGGGAAGGGAGGCCAAAGGAGAGTGCTGTGCACCAGGGCCTCCCAGACGAAAGCAAAGTGAGTTTAATGGATCTCCTTGCCTCACAGCTGGAGGTTTCTGTAGCAGGGCAGGTCCAGGAGGGCTCCCAGCTGGAGCAGACCAGCATGGGAGAGGCTCAAAGAAAGATTTTGGGAACCAAAAAGGGTTCACATTCCTGGTCTTCACCTCACACTACCTGCAGGCAGGGCTAGATATGGAGCAAGTGAGGTGCTGCAGATCCTAATGCCACATCAGATGCAGCTCTCCAGGCTCAGCTGGGAACTGTGACAATGCTCAGCTGTGTCTGACTGGAGGTTATGGATCTGTGGGCTGCCCCAGGCTCAGGGGGAGCTTCCCACCTTTGCCCAGCTGAGGCATGATCTTGCACCCAGAATTAATCCTGCCTTTCTTGGCAGGATGAAGGTACAAAGAGCTGATGTGGTCCCTCTGCGGAGGCTCCCAGAGCTTGGAGGTGGTGGGCATGGAGAGAAACCTTGTAGTAAACGTCTGCCTGCTCTGCTTTTCTCTTCTCTTCTTTCAGCTCCTGAATATTTCCTCTCTCTCTCTGTTGCCCTACTTCCTTTCTTCCCCACCTTTCCCTTCCTAGGCTAGACGATGGGGAGACCTGACCCAGAGGAAGGGCATCTCCCAGCTCCTGTGAAGCCCCCGGATGGTGGCTGGGGCTGGATCGTGCTCT